TCAGAATAAAACTGCTATAGATATGGTGCTGCTATATGAATATCTTATGTCTATGAAAGATATAGTTGATATGAAGGCAGAAATAACATAGGTACGTACGTAAGCATGTATGCCTACATTTAGGTTGAAACAGGCTTCAGCAAAAACTTCACTTAACAGTCAGCCAGATAACCTTGTTAGTGCGTACAGTCTGCACAGCAGAAGTAATGTGGGGTTTCAGTCATGGGTATGTTCTGCTTCTGAAGCTTAGGAACGATTAGCCAGACTACAATGAAACTTTGAATGTAGCTTATATGTATCGTCACCCTTGCAGCTGCAACTTTAGCTATTGACATCTTCTTTTCGATCACTCCGCATTAACCCTCGCCCGCACATGCCATTTTCCCATCCTAGAACGCACATGGGGGGGGGGGGGTGGTTGCCACCCCCCCCCCGCGCCATTTCGTTCCTGTTGGAGATAGAGCTTAGCAGTAAAGACCAAAAAGATTCTTTGGGAAGAGACAAATCCAATGATACCCAGTTTTACCTTCTCAGGTCAGTCATTGACCTTCCAGGTCAGGTCAAACTAAAAAATGTTGCTGCTTTGGGTCACCGTTGGATATCAAGTGCGCTGCTTATCAAATACCGATGACGATGCTGTTTTCTGGTGCCAAGCCAGCTAGAACCTCTTTGTCACACTATCCGACCATAATTTTGCTGCTGAGGTCATTTCAGGTCAAGTTAGGTCAAGGTCAATTATATGTGTTTGTATGTCTGTGTGTGTCTGTGTGTATACTGATGTGTGCACCGATTGTTTTTGGGTCCATATCACATGAAATCATGATCTGAGAAGCTTTTACCAAAAATGCAGTCAAAAAACTTCACAAAAAATAAATTCAGCTTGCCTAAAACGCAATTATCTTAGATGACCTAGGTTGACCTTGACCCTGACCTTGACCCCTGTACATACATCGTCGAACAACATGTTCCATGATAGGTGGGAGGTAAGACTGGCAAAAAAGGCCGAAATCAGGGTGTCAAAAGCTCACAAGGCCCATGGCAAACGCAAGATGTTGAGAATTGGCCATTTGGGTCATGACATGACCTGAAAAACAAGGTCATATCTCCGAAACAAAAAATCACAGAAACTTGAAATTTTCAGTGGACATCAAGAAAGGATAGACGAGCAGCTATACGAAAATCAGCCTTCTAGCTCTAAAAATGTTGAGTGCAGAGCAGAAAGACTGCCTGGGGGGTGGCAACCACCCCCCCCCCCCATGTGCGGGCGAGGGTTAAACAATCGCCAGTCAAAGCCAGCCGTTGAGATTGGTAAACCCTACATTACTTTAGCGGTTGGCTGTACCTACTGCCGTCTGCGTCTCTCCCAAAATATTCCTCTATCAACCCCAAGTTGAGATGCAGGAGCTGATTTTCCTACATAACGATTCAGGCCTGGGCCTTAAGTAAATCCTCGTACTGCCTTCTGTTTGCTGGCAAGTTTAACCCGCGCACCGACGGGGGAGGGCGAATATCCGCCCCACCCTGAGGTTTTTCGTAGATAGCGGGAAAACCGTGGCGCGTAGCGCTGCGAAATTTGGTACGACTATTCTCTCATCAATTGAACACATGGTGTGCAAGTTTGAACCTCCTAATTTTTAAGGTCAGATCACCAGGTCACTTTGAATAACCCAACCTCAAGTCACCTTTTTGCAGTTTTGTCACCGTGCCAGAGCTACAGTAGATGTTGGAGGCCTTTGAAAGTCGCAGAATGTTATAAGGTCATTAGTAGCTACAATGTGTTTATCTCGGAATTTTGATATCGATGATCTAAGGTCAGGTCAATTTCTCGACCTCCCCATTATAAGTCAATGGGAGAAAAATCAACTCCCTGTTTTTACCACTAAAACGGGTCGGAATGGCCCCATAAACCATACATGACTTCATATACGATCAACCTTCACTACCTTGGGGTCTGGTTTGCTGTTGGGCAGCTTGTAAAGTCATGAGACGTCATCAAAGGTCACCAAAGTTTTTTTTTCCAATAACTCCGTACAGGAACAAGATACAGCCGCGCGGATGGTCTCATTGTGTTCAGCTCGGCAAAGCGCATCGAATGATATACATGATGACCTCAAGGTCACGTGACCTGAGGTCAACCTTTGACCTTGACCTTTCGAGGTCAACATATATGTCATTTGATGCGGGTTGACGAGAGGATCACGATGATGCCCTTAATTTGTTCCTATCTTGACTAGGTCAAAAGTTATTCGAGAAAAACTCTCTCCATATCTAGCGCCGCCATTTTAACTTTTTTGACCCCTGTGACGTCATCTTTGACCTGACCTGAAAATGACCTTTGTAAAAATTGTAGAACTTGTCCGTGCGTATCCCATGCCGTTTACCGCTTGTCGCTATTTTGCTTCGTTCTCGAGCTCTCAGGGGGGGGGGGGGCGTTCATCCGCACCCCCCGTCGGTACTAAGTCGGTGCGCGGGTTGAAGGTGGGATAGTAAGAAGTCTATGTCTAGCGATATTCGCTGGCTTGAGATAATGCTCATAGATAGGTACAGCCCTCCAGGCATTAACCCGGCAGGCGGTGGGCCTCCCGGCCACCTTCCGCGCGGTGGGGGGCATTTTTTTGCCCCCCCCCCCGTATCTCCGAAACTACTGGACAGATCCGGAAAATTCAAACGGCGTTCGATAGCCCTGTCATATTTGTCGAAGGAAAACAAACTTCATTGACCTCGGGTCACCGATGATGTCACATCACAGGTCAGGTCAAAGATAAAATAATTCACCGTTCACTAGGGAAAGCGCTATAACACCGAGGAAAACGTATTTTGTCGAAAATCAGCGATAGGGCGTCAGTTGTCTAGTACATATGTTGCTATTAGAGGTCACTGGTCATACCAGGTCAGGTCAGGTCACAGGTCAGGTCACCAAGGGTCACCACATAAACCCAACTTGACTAAGGTTGTGCGATGCATGTTTTATGGCCAATTTTTCACTTCCAACTCAATGGTGTTGGTTATAAGACCATCAGGTACGGTTTAGGTCACTTTCTGGTGGAGGTCAGGTCAAGGCCAGGGCAAAAAAGGTCAAATTTCAAAGTTGATAGTTTTGCATAATTGTATTGATTCGATGCAGCTCTTCACGGGGAGTCTAATGGTGGTCTTTGTTTTGCGCTACGAGGTCCAGAATTGCTAAAAAAATTGAGTTTGAAAATTTGACGTCATCAATTTTGAACAGTTTTTTCGCTATAACTTGGCCAAAAAAAGAAGTATCGATCTTAAATTTGGTATGTAGATAGAAAGCGGTACGGACTATCACATATATTCCGGTTTTTCGAAATTCAAAAAACGTCTTAGATTTATCGGCTATTATTTTTTTAAATATATTTTTTGATTTTTGGGGGTTAAAATCCACAAAGGTAAAAAAACCGAGCTAGCAGTTTTGTAGCGCTATCAATTCTACATCTTTTATGTTTGAAACATTTTTCTGTATCTCTAAGTTGTAGGCCTGACAGCTCTTCCCGCGAAACGTTTTTTTTTGGTCGAAAATGGCAGAAATGACGTCACTCTGACGTCATTAGCGGCCAACCTATCATGGCCTTTGGAAATGTTTTGGCCACAATGTGCAATAGCTGTTCACGGGAGGGTACCGAAAGTTTGGTGACGATCGGCGCAGCGGTTCTGGAGATATATAGAAAAAGCCAAGGGGGGGGGGCAAAAAAAATGCCCCCCCACCGCCTGGAAGGTTAAGTGGTTGGTTGCCAACACCACAATAAGCGATCTGCATTGATTAATACGTCTAATGGCTTTTGAAAACCATTGCCGAAGTGTGTGCATAAACCCTCTTCTCATTTCTATTGAGTCATATTACAGGAGTGTCTCTGTCATTCCAAGTTATTACACTAAAAGCACATATCCAAACCAATCGCCCTTTTGCTGGAGGGCTGTACCTAGAATATATGCAGTGCAAGTAAGTTGAAGCTTGTCATTTGCAACTAAACAAGTGTAACGCGTTGTTACCTTCTCTGCGACGGAAGCCAGCCTGCACGGTATCGGTAGCTTTATTTCGATGGGCCATGGCGGGATGCGGTAAGGGCTGGATATAAGATAACGTTTGCCGTGCATGTCGATGTAATACTAAAGAAGGTGAATAGAGATCTTGAGCTATAGATTATGTCACATCAAACGGGAAAGGGTGGTCGATTTAGCATGCATATGATATAAACCATAACGGCAACACATCTATATGCAAACGTTCGCTCTACATAGGGGTACGCCTGTGTACATAGAGTCGAGTGGAGCTATCCATATCCATTTGGTAAGAACCGAGCACCAGCCAACTTTGACAGTTTTCTTTTTCGTGTTGCTGTCTCTGGAACACAAAAATACCATGCGTCAATCCGGCCTGCGCATGTATCGTTGCAAAATTACATTGGTGCGGCCTCATCTTCTTTCAAAACAGCCTTATTAAAATACAGACTTACTTTTACTGTTTGAACCATTCCCATTGACAGCTCTTTTGCATGCTCTCCCATGAAGCAAAGCGCTGTTCCGTGCTTCTACATTACATTGGTGATTCGTATCGTCAGTCAAGTATTTCTGTCAGATTGTGTCATCAATGCAGCCAAAATCTAAGTAGTTCCCTTCGCACAATAAGCGCTTTTTATTTAGGTATTTATCTGCAGCTGCTGAAAGGAGTCAATTAACTTTCATATCACTGAAGAACCAGCTAATGCCAATTTTTGCATCGTCTTGCGAATTTTATGGTATATATAGTATTGTTAGGAACATGTATTTAAACGATTTTTTTTTTACAATGGATTGTGTCAGACAGACAATCATCTGTTTCCGACAGGCCTGATCCCCTGTCATGACTGATTTTTCAAAGTATGTTTGTACTGTGAAAGGTTGTAACGCACCAATCATAGGTAGAGGCTACGAGTGCACACATTATATAACCAAAATAACCAAAGCTAATATGAACAAAGCCTGTGTCCTGACGGACGTTTTCACCGCCATACTACCGAAAAGCCTCAAGTGGTTTTATGTATTTATTTACGAACGCGTATAAATAATCATCAGTCATCAGTTCTTCATCAGCTCATGATGTGCTCTTTTTGGTATAAATATTTTACGCGGATATATGCTAAAACACATGTGAATCTATAAGCAAAAAATGTATGAATACTTGACACTTTCATCACTTATCCAAACATGGCAAGCATACAGTCTAAAACAGTGGTGTCTAAACAACGACACATACTAACAATGACAATAAGTGACAATTCGGCTCCGTTCCGAACTTTGAAGTTGCATAACAATCACCTTAATCAATAGAACGCCGCTATAATATGCAGAGCTGCAATAATGCGTGAAACCATAGATAACATGAATCTATGTCCAACATGATTCATATTATCTATGGTGGAAGGAATACAAACAACATCCGTCTTATACATAGGTTTTGCCATTCGTTGTGTTTATGCATTACCCTAGACACATCCCACACGTTGAAGCCTCTTATCCTCATTACGATCAGCGCACACAACTGCGAACGGACAGATCTCACCATTGAATCGCTCCTAATCGACACATCGCCACCGACCCTCCCACCTTCAAAAAAGTTAATGAATTGGCATGAAAGTGATGTCGCTCGGTTCAGAAAGGGCAAAAACGAATATCTACCAAATTTCATCGAACAATATTCACTGGTTTTCAAGATATTAGACTTTTACTTTTGTTTACTTTTTGGGATCTCCGCTGTTCCTAGCGACTTTATTTGAAAGTGCGGCATTTGTTGCGCGCAAAGCAGCATATACCACCGCGTGCTACAAAACGTTTTAGTCAAACATTTAACGGAAGTTCGAAAGCCTGATGACGTCATCAGATTCCCGTAATGGTTAAGAGATAGGGACCACGCTGGTCCCACCCTGCAAGTAAAGGGAAGAAATTTCTTGAACACCATAAAGCTGCGGGGGCTGCGACGAGGATAAATGGTGGTTTCTGAGCCTGGCCGCAAACTTGGCTATCTCAACTCAAAACTAATGTTAAGGTGGGAGGGTCCCTTTAAGTCGGCGGTTTGCTGCTGCTTGCTGCTCCTGTGGTGGCTGGGGTCACTCCCTAGCTCGCTCTCCACAGCACACACTCCTCAGACCATCATCCGGAGGAGGGTGGCCGTTAACAGCGCCAGAGAGGTGCCCGCCAGACTGGAGGCCGACGAAGCCTGTCTAAGACGCTCGTCACTGAGCGCCGCCTGACGACCCGGAGGCTCAAAGTACCGTACTTCCTCTTCAAAGTCCTGCGGGAAGTCTTCGGTGGCTCGCCTGCGACCGGGCATCGTCGGACCCGCGCGCGTCACGCCGCGGTCGAGGTCAGAGAAGCCAGACGGAGTGGATGGACGGAACCGGTTCGAGCGAGTGGGGACGGATTGAGAGGTGGGGAAGGCGCCACGAGAGGTGGAGCGACCGGAGGGCGTGAACAGTCCGCGCTGAGAGGACGGCGTCGTGGGGAAGAATCCGCGGTTGTTAGGAAGGCGGGTCGGGGATGTGAAGAAGTTTCCTCTGCCCTGCAGGGTTGGGTTGGTGGAGAACGGGTTGAGTGTTGTCGAAGGAGAGGTCAGTGACGGCAACAGACCGTTGGTGCTGCGGCCAGAGGGAGTTGTAGAGAATGGGTTCAGAGAGCCGGAAGGAGTAGACGCTGAGCCAAAGGCGTTATTAACTCCCCGGTTTGAGAATGTGGTCGGAAACACATTGAGGGGACTGGAAGGACTGGTCAATGACGGGAACAGACCGTTCCTGTTCGCAGCAGTTTGTGTCGCAGGGAACAGACCCCGCCTGGTGGAGGGTCCCGTAGGTGAGGAAAAGGCGCCGTTGCCGCCACGGCCCGCTGGGAACTGCCCGCGGTTGTTGAATGCGCCGGCGGTCGTGGGGAAGCCGTTGTTGCGACCGCCAATGCCGGAGGGTGAGTTGAACAAACTCCTGCCTCGGGTGCCAGCCGTCGGGAAGAGACCCTGATTCACTGCGCCCTGACCACGTCCCAGACCAAGCTGATTTTGGAACCCTCCTGTCGCACCAAACGCAGTTGGTTGCTGCGTGTTGCCAGTAAGGAATGCATCAGTTCCGAAAGCGGCAGCAAACTCCTGTTCCAGCGTCCTCCCCAGCCCCAGTCCTGAGTTGGGTTGGAAGCCGCGGCGGACACGAGGGTCGAACTGATTCTGGAACGGAGGTCGAACGGCACCGAATGTCTGCTGACTGCCGGCGGCCGGGGGGCTCTCAAAAGGCAGCGCTGGTCCCGCCACCCTGCCCTGACCGTGTCGGCTCGGTCTCAGACTGTCTCGCGACATGAAGTCGGGCAGACGAGGTCCTGCGGGAATGGGTGAGCGGGGTGGGCTGAGAGAAGTTTGACCGTTGAACGAGCGACCTCCTGCTCCCAGTTGTCTCTGCGTGGCCACAGGGGGGAACCCGAAGCCCTGAGAGCCACCACCGAAGGCGCTGGGGAACGAGAGCTGTCCGCTCGGAAGTGAGAACGCCGTGGGACCTTGTGTCAGAGCGGCGGTGGTGCCGAAAGGGCCGGCCGTGAACGGGGCAGCAGACGGTGAGGTGAACTGCAGGAGCGGGTGGGGAGTGGGCGGGCTGGCGGTCAGGGCCTGGGCGACGCCGAGTCCCGCCGGAGTGACGCTTTTGGAGCGTCCGGGGAGGAACGGTAGTCCGGTGGGTCCAGCGGTGACCGGGGGACGTCTCGAGGAGGGCATCTTCCTCGACCTGCCATGCGATGTCGTGGGGGACGGTCGTCTAGAGGTGCTGCTGCCACTGCTCGACCTTACAGACGCGCTAGGGCTGGTGCCCAGGAATCCAGGGGCCGTCGGACCGGCTGTGCGGATCTGGGAGACGATACCGTGACCTCCGGCAGGGGTTACGCTGATCGGCGGTCGACCTGGCAGACCGGGACCTCCCAGAGTGAGACTCAGGCTGTCTGTGAAGCGTACAGCACCGCTCGGCGCGATTGAAGAGATCTCTGCCGGCTCCATGGTTGATGCAGCGATCTGCAGCGGGGCTGGAGCGGACGGCGGAGTCGGAGGAAAGCCGAGCACGCCGGCGGCGAACCCGTTCAGCAGCCGGCCATGTCTCTGACCAGCTCCCGGCGGCCGCTGCACGCGCGACACGGTGTGCACGTTGGTCAGCTGCATGGTTCCGCCGTCCAGCGGGCCGCGCGCCGTCAGCCGGCCACCGGACACGGGCGTCTCGGAGACCCCGATCGGCCGCTCCGTGCGGTCAGAAACCTCCACCAGGGCCAGGTGCGGCCGCTCGCCGACGGCGTTCACCGCCACCTCCTCAGCCAGCAGGCCGCGACGGTTCGGGTTGTCGCGACCCTGAACGAAAAACGGGCCTTCCGGCTTGGGTCGGTACACCTCGCGCAGTCCGCCGTTGGGCGGGGGACGGTACGGCGGCCCGGTTACTGTCTCGGGGAACGGCGGGCTCGTCGGCGGGTTGTCGCGGATGACGAAGCCAGGACGCACCACGGGCCTTGGTCGGCTGGGGAACCGATTACCGGGCCGGCCACCAGACGGTCGGCCAAACGATCCTCCTCCGCTGAACGATCCTCCACTGCTGAACGAGTTGAACGAGCCTGGACCTGGTCCAAACACGTCTTCAGGTCGCTTGAAGCCGTTGATGGAACCCTGGAAGGGTCTCGATGGACTCGGGACGGGGTGTGGCAGCGCCGCCGAAGCCGCTCCCAGCGGCCTCTCCACCTGCGGCAGCGGGGCGTACGGGCGCGGGCTCACTTTGACCACAATCGGCTGCTTGCCGGCCGCGTAGTTGATCTGGGTGCGCACGCGCTCGCCGATGCGCGGCTCTCGTACGAGCTCCGCCAGCGCCACCTGTGTGGGGTCGGCGCCGAGCAGTCCGTCTGGGGTGAGCTCGGAGGAGGCCGGCGCGTGGCGCTCCAGTCGACCCAGGCGCCGCTCGAGCACCGGCGGCCCGAACACCAGCTCGCCTGGAACGGAGGACGGCGCTGTTAGAGAGCTGTACGCGCTTCCGGGCGCGAGAGTGAGGGGCTGGTGTAATGATGAGTGGTGAGTATATCGAGTAACGACAGTCCATATATTTAATAAACAAGACTTGGGTGGATTTAGAAACTTTATGCTCGCATACTTTTACACAGCGCTGCAGCGCGCTTGTCAGTCGATATTGTACGGTAAAGGAAATACATCAGAGATAAACACTTCAACAAATTTTCGTAGAAGTCATACATAGATCAAGCCCATATCTTTTGCGATTGGAGCAGGCCATTGGGTAACCGACAGAGTAAAAGTGGCTAAACAAGGAAGGAGACTAGCAAGGGAAATCTGATTTGTTGGAATTCATAGGCAGTGACGGGGTCATGAGGCCAGCACAGTCTATAAGTGTCGGACAACTTTTAACAATGGACACACTAAAAATACTATACGACGTACCTAACCAGATTTTGCTAACATATGGGGCGTTCCACGACAAATCGACAAGTGCCCTGCACCCTCATATTTTGTTTTTTGCTTAAAATTGGTCTAATGGGTTGTGATGGGCGGAGAAGCCAGCTGTGGCAAGGATTTTTTTCTTCGAACAACGGTTTCCGAGATATAGCCTCGGGCAATTCCTGGAGTTCGCGCTGCAGCCCTATGTTTGGCGGCCTATAACTCAGCAACTATTGGTTTTTTACGATACAAACTTGATATGGTTCAACTCACAATCAACCAACAAACATTTTGGCTATCTCGGATTTTAAATTTTTGAAAATTTTGATCACGTGACCTTTTGTCCTATTTTTCGAAGAGTGACCTTGATATTTTCCCCACTGAAAGTTGCAATTTTGTCTGATGACGATTAAAGCCTTATCAATTGTCATTCATATGCGATAATAAAAAAGTGGTTATCGCCCTGCGTTGACCTGACCATTTTCAGGTCAGGTCAAAGATGACGTCACAGGAGCTAAAAGGAAGTCAAAATAGCGGCACTATACATATATATGAAGTTTTTCTCGAATAACTTTCAAGGTATCCCACCTAAGAACAAACTAATAGCACCATCGTGATCCTCTCGTCGATCCGCATCGAAACATATGTATGTTGACCTTGAAAGATCGAAAGGTCAAAAGTTGACCTTAGATCACGTGACCTAGGGTCAACTTTTGACCTTTCGACCTTTCGAGGTCAACATACATATGTTTCGATGCGGATCGACGAGAGGATCACGATGGTGCTATCAGTTTGTTCCTAGCTGGGATACCTTGAAAGTTATTCGAGAAAAACCTCATATATATGTATAGTGCCGCTATTTTGACTTCCTTTTAGCTCCTGTGACGTCATCTTTGACCTGACCTGAAAATGACCTCAATAAAAATTATAGACCTTATCCGTGTGTACCCTTTACCGTTTACCGCTTGTCAAGTTATCTTGCTTTATTCTCGAGATCTCGCTGTCGCTCCCGCTCGTAATAATGGACAGGTCATAAAAATGACCTGACCTGAGGTCAACGCAGGGCGAAAACCACTTTTTTTTATTATGGCATATGAATGACAATTGATAAGGCTTTAATCATCATCAGACAAAATTGCAACTTTCAGTGGGGAAAATATCAAGGTCACTCTTCGAAAAATAGGACAAAAGGTCACGTGATCAAAATTTTCAAAAATTGAAAATCCGAGATAGCCAAAATGTTTGTTGATTGATTGTGTGTTGAACCATATGAAGTTTTTATCGTAAAAAAAACAATAGTTTCTGAGTTATAGGCCGCCAAACATAGGGCTGCAGCGCGAACTCCAGGAATTGCCCGAGGCTATATTTCGGAAACCGTTGTTCGAAGAAAAAAATCCTTGCCACAGCTGGCTTCCCCGCCCATCAAAACCCCTTACACCAGTTTTCAACGAAGAATAAAATATGAGGGTGCAAATTTAATTTTTTATTTGTCGATTTGTCGTGGAACGCCCCATATGTAAGGAATCGGCATTGCTGAAACATGTCGCATTTCATCCAAATCTCTTTTCTCAAAGAACAGCAAAGCGCAATAATTTTCAACGAACACGGTCTGCCACCGGTCGTGACTTGTCATTGAATGCCTGGTGTGTGTGGTGACAGTCTCTGTTCCTGATTTCTGACTGCATATTGCAAAACTGGGAAGTGTGCACAGTAGCAGATAAATCATATGGACGCACAAAGCCTGGTCTAATAACACAGTTCGGAGGAAATCTGGACCTGCGGCTTGCACCAGCCCACATTCCAGCATGCAGACCGGGATAATAAAACTGCACAAATTCGAAACCATTGTTATGTCGTCAGCATTAGCTTCTGTATAGGAGCTCACTATAACGAGCAGTATTCTACAGGGTGGACCAAAAAGGATGGAAACATTTTAAACTCGTATAAAACATGTATCATTGCATGCATGTGACTGGGAATGATACCAAACAAGAGTACATTTCGTGGAAATTCATAATGGCATCACTCTCATACGCTTTCTCTCGTTTTCAGTCTCTCACAGCAGATGTTCGAAGTGACCACCTTCGCGAGACAGGCACAGAGCGACCAGCCTGGCTGCTGACACGCATAGCCCGCTTGTATGGCTCACACAGCCTTGCTGATCGCTCTCTTCAGTTCAGAGGCTTTCTGGACCTTCCTTGTAGACCTGGCCCTTGAGATGACCCCACAGTAAAACATCCATAGGAGTCAGGTCGGATGAGCAGGTAGGCCAGTTCCGACTGGCACCGCGGGATATCAGCCGGTCACCGAAGTGGTTTTCGATGCACTTGGGCGTTGTTTTTGCGATGTGAGGAGTCGTACCGTCTTGCTGGAACCACATAAGGTCTATAATGAGGCTGCCATGCTTCGTTTGGACTCGCTCTCAGAACTTCCTCAGCGCCGCCTGGTATGCGCTGTTGATTGACGGTCACGGTGTCGCCGCTCCCTTCCTCGAACCAAAGTGGACCCACGATTCCTTTTCCGCTGAGGGCACACCATTTCGGTGACCTTGCTGCTGTACAGTGACTTCTTTATCATCTTATCTCAAGGGCCAGGTCTACAAGGAAGGTCTCTGTGACCTGAAGAGAGCGATCACCAAGACTGTGTGAGCCATACCAGCGAACATGTGTGGTCGGGCTATCGCGTCAGCCACCAGACCGGCCGCTCTGTGCCTGTCTCGCGAAGGCGGTCTCTTCGAACACTTCCTGTGAGAGACTGAAAACGAGAGAAAGCAGATGAGAGTGATGCCGTTATGAATTTCCACGAAATGTACCCTCGTTTGGTACCATTTTCAGTCACATGCATGCAATAATGCATGTTTTATGCGAGTTCAAAATGTTTCCATCCTTTTTGGTCCACCCTGTAGGTATGCGATTTACAATTTAGCTATATTCTTGGGAAAATATATATAGCTAAATGTCAAATTTTGTGTGCTGCTGTCAGAACAAAATAATCAATTTTAATTTAATTGACGACTTTGACGGCAACAATTCAATTAACCCTCGCCGGACCTATTGGTTTTCTACATACGCGCCGGCCGAGGGGGGGGGGGCGGGTACGACCCCCCCCCCCTCGCCGTTTCGCCCCTGGTGGAGCTAGCGCGTCGCGGAAAAAACGAGCGTGTGCGCCGTTACGAGACGCAGAGATTGGTACCCGATTTTAAGGTCCTAGGTCAACCGGTGACCTCTGAGGTCAGGTCAAGTGCCCCAAGGTACGGTTCCGTTTTTGGTGAATAACTTCGCAAAAAACGGCCGCAGAGCGCCGATTTTGGCAGCATCGTGTTCGCCTCGCTCAGGCGCGTCGAATGATATACTTTTTGTCTGGGTCAGGTCAACTTGGGGTGTTGACCTCAGGTCAAGGTCAGGTCAGCACCCCCAGGTCACGAGGTTGGTCGAAAGAGGTCATGTCGCATATCATTCGATTCGGCAAGTCTTTCTGAGTCCATTGGTGGCTTTCCCGACTCGCTAGCTCAATTTGATCAAGAGTTATTGACGAAAAACTAATATGACCTTGATGACGTCATAAATGACGTCACGAAAGGTCAACATTGCAAAAGTGACGCATCTAACCTTGCAAGGAGTGCATCAAATCACGATTCTGTGTGCTTGAGATAGTTGGAGATCGTTCCCGGCGCCAGAATAGCAGTTTTCATTTTTCCCCATTGACTTATAATGGTGAGGTCACGAAAATGACCTGACCTCATATGACCTTTAGGAAAAATCCGAGATATACAAGTTGTGGGACTCATAATGGATACTAGATCCTGCAAGTTTCATTTCCCTGTGACATCTCCTCTGGCAGTGAGGGCGTTGCGAAGTTGCGACATCTGAAGACCGTGCAGAGGTTCACTTATGACGTCATAGGTCAGTGACCTGACCTGACCCAAAAATGCGGTTGGTGTCAAAAGATGCGGCTTGGATCAAAGGTCAGGTATGCCAAGTTTCAGCTCTCTATCGCCAGCGTGTTCGGAGCTATCGCGAAAAAACCCTATGGGGGGGGGGCGGCACCCGCCCCCCCCTCGGCCGGCGAGGGTTAAACAACACTAAAGTCACTCCATTTGAATTCGTGTAGAACATAGTCGTTGACAAGCTGCCCGTTCAAAGGCTGTTTTGACATTTTTCAGTGCGCATAACGTTGCTAAGTGTGAATTTTGAGCGGTAGATTCATGAATCTTTTCTACTAATTTTGTCATGTAACGTCATACATGACCAAATTAATTTAATTAAATTGACGGCTTTGAGATGCATGTATGCAACGTCATGCATGAGGTTGCAAAAGTACTAGATATTGCTCTGTCTTTTTTTAGTAGTTTGTCATTCATCCATATTTTTTATTCCTTCTGGATTTATCAGTCCTACCCACTGTTAAACATAGTCGCACCATAAGCCGTTTTCACGACGGCCATCTGGTACACATTTGGTGCACATCTGGTGCAGATTAGGTGCAGATTTGGTCAAATCAGATTCAGCGTGTCTCTTAGTAGCTATCAGTTAGGGCTGCACTA